TATCAAAAAGGAGCAAAAGGCACTCATTTTCGTGGAACAACCCAGTACACGTTAAGTTCTGCCCATTGGATGTTGTTTGCAATGCTCTCGTCAAGTTCATTTGTTAATTTTTCATATGCACATGAAGGACGTGGAGTCACTACATGACCGATAATGTATCATATTTGTAGTCATTTTTTAAAATCATTTAAATGCATGTTAGTGCTTTTGGTATGTGTCAAGTACAATAAAAATGCATTTAGAAAAACTATATTGTAGCGGCGGCAGCCTATTAGAATAGTTGGAGGTGTAGCTTGTTGGGGGCGTGGCTTTGTCGTAGTGCTTTTTGGTCTCCTGTGAGACTGATTGTCATGCCAGTTGATGTGTTATGTTGTGTTCTGTGATTTAAAAGTTAAGCTTGTATACTGTCAGTTCTACGGTCTTAATAAGACTGTCATAAGTGCATGTGATACCAAATAGCCTACTGAAGTTTCATTGTGAAGCCTGTGACCATGTTGTTACAATATTTTTTATTTATATGGGAAACACTTTATTTAAAGAATATATTTCTTACAAATACATTTAAATGCATGTTGGAATATATTTGACAAAACATTTTTGAATATATTTTCATATATACAGTACCAGTCAAAAGTTTGGACACACCTACTCATTCAAGGGTTTTTCTTTATTTTTACTATTTTCTACATTGTAGAATAATAGTGAAGACATCAAAACTATGAAATAACACAATAACACCAAAAAAGTGTTTAAAAAATCAAAATATATTTGAGATTCTTCAAATAGCCACTTTTTGCCATAATGACAGCTTTGCACATTCTTGGCATTCTCTCAACTAGCTTCACCTGGAATGCTTTTTCAACAGTCTTGAAGGAGTACCCACATATGCTGAGCACTTGTTGGCTTCTTTTCCTTCACTCTGCTGTCCGACTCATCCCAAACCATCTCAATTGGGTTGAGGTCGGGGGATTGTGGAGGCCAGGTCATTTGATGCAGCACTCCATCACTCTCCTTCTTGGTAAAATAGCCCTTACACAGCCTGAAGGTGTGTTGGGTCATTGTCCTGTTGAAAACCAAATGATAGTCCCACTAAGCCTAAACCAGATGGGATGGCGTATCGCTGCAGAATGCTGTGGTAGTCATGCTGGTTAAGTGTGCCTTGAATTCTAAATAAATCACAGACAGTGTCACCAGCAAAGCATCCCCACACCATAACACCTCCTCTTCCATGCTTTACGGTGGGAACTACACATGCGGAGATCATCCGTTCACCCACACCACGTCTCACAAAGCCACGGCGGTTGGAACCAAAAATCTCAAATTTGGACTCCAGACCAAAGGACAAGTTTCCACCGGTCTAATGTCCATTGCTCGTGTTTCTTGGCCTCTTCTTATTATTGGTGTCCTTTAGTGGTGGTTTCTTTGCAGCAATTCAACCATAAAGGCCTGATTCACACAGTCCCCTCTGAACAGTTGATGTTGAGATGTGTCTGTGACTTGAACTCTGTGAAGCATTTATTTGGGCTGCAATTTCTGAGGCGTTGCTCATGAGAGCCAGTCATAGCGTTTGATGTTTTTTTTTACTGCACTTGTTGTGCAAATGTTCCGTGTTGACTGACCTTCATGTCTTAAAGTAATGATGGACTGTCGTTTCTCTTTGCTTATTTTAGCTGTTCTTGCCATAATATGGACTTGGTCTTTTACCAAATAGGGCTATCTTCTGTATACCCCCCTACCTTGTCACAACACAACTGATTGGCTCAAACGCATTAAGAAGGAAAGAAATCCCACAAATTAACTTTTAGCAAGGCACACCTGTTATTGAAATGCATTCTAGGTGACTACCTCATGAAGCTTGTTGAGAGAATGCCAAGAGTGTGGAAAGCTGTCATCAAGGTAAAGGGTGGCTTTTTTAAAGATTCTCAAATATAAAATATATTTTGATTTGTTTAACACTTTTTTGGTTACTACATGATTCCATATGTTTTATTTCATAGTTTTTATGTCTTCACTATTATTCTACAATGTAAAAAAAATTAAGAAAAACCCTGGAATTAGTAGGTGTGTCCAACCTTTTGACTGGTAGTGTATGTACCAAATATATCACTAAAAACATGTGAAAGTATATTCTAAAATACATTCTTTAATGTATTTCTGAATGCATTTTGAAATACATAAAATTCATTTTCAGATGCATTTAACATATGTGTTATACATTTTACATACATTTTCTGTGTATAAAAATACTCCCTAATACATACAGTACCAGTCAAAAGTTTGGACATGTGGCAGGGATAGTGTGCTTGCTTAATGTGTTTGTTATATATAGATATAGAATTATTGTAAAATTAACTCTGTCCATAAGGTGTAGATAGTAAGTATAGACCGGAAGTAGAGGCCTGGGCGTTGTTGTTCACTAATTTACTCCAAGTAGGGAAAGGATGGTGGGGTTGAAAAGTAATAAAGGGGAATATATATATATAAAAAATAAAAATAAAACATGGGGGATTGGAAGTGATGCAGACAATTATATTGATAGAAGATACAATCTATCTGCAATATTAAGCTGATCCACCCCCCCCCCAAAAAACAAAAAAAAAACAACAAAAAAAGTGTTTGTTACTATTTTTGTTTCTCTTCTTCCAGGGCTGCAGCCTTTTCTACACCAAGCGATTCTGCATGCAGTGTGTGAACAAACACTTAGACCAGTTCCCCCCTCACATTCAAGCTGAGCTCGCCAAGAAGAAACAGCCATCAAAGACAGGTGTTTCATGATTTCTGCAAGAGACAAATTAAAGACTCTGGAGGTACTTCAGGAAGGAAAATCTCCTAGCCTTTCAATTAGGAGATGTCTCTCTGGGTTGTGGCTAGCGTGCTTGCCTTGGGGTCAAGTGACCCGTGTAGTATTCCCACTTAGGGTGATACTGTCTCCTGTTGGTCACTTGTGATATACCCCTCTGGGATAGACACGTTTCTGTTTTGGGAGAAATGGTTGGAACTGAACATTACTTCTGGGCCACCTAAGGGATTCTAGTTGGTGTCATATACAGTTTTACCACTAGATATCAGTAAAGACTTACATCCCTCATTCACAGCAGCTGAATACAAGGAGTCCCAACGTCAAAATATATAATGTACCTTGTTTAATATTTCAGTATAACATGGAAAAATTGTACAATATGTTGAAAATACATATACTACCAGAATTACGTGTAGTTTGCACTTGATGAAATATGCTCCGCCCAAGCATTGATACTAACACTATTTTTCTATGGATGACCTCAATGTTTATAAAACAAGATGTGTTAACTTGTTGACCTTGCAGAGTAAATGAGAACTCTCTGGTCCTAAGGGACATTCGGTGTATCCCAAATGGCACCCTATTCCCCATTTAGACTAGTGCACTACTTTTGACCAAAGCCTCATGGGCCCTGGTCGAAAGTAATGCACTAAATAGGGAATAGGGAGCCATTTTGGACAAAATCTAAATTGTCCCAGTGAGGGAACTCCAAGTACATAAGCAAATGTAACCACTAAACTGCAGTGATAGTCAGATTGTGCCAAAGTCAGTTGGCAATAGGCGAGCTGCCAACTGTGATGGAAGGTATTTAACACTGAGGATATGTCACTCTGGACTGGAGGCAGGTTTAAAAAGAACAAACAAAATTGTCATATTGGAGATGTTGAACCCTGAACCCAACATTGCCAAATGTAGGACAGGTATAATTCCACAAAACCCTTCCCTATCTCTCCCCGCTCTTTAGGGAGACAATTCCAAACAAAAATCTCCTACCCTTGCTCCAAAAACTGACAGAAAGTGTCATTCTATGACTGTTCATAAGAGACTGCCATCAACTTTCTTTTGTCATAAACCAATAAAATATAGGTGCATAAAGAATAATACAAATATTACTTTATTCAACTACCTAGACTATTACTAGGTTATTACTTTAGACATGGCCACTTATTAATAACTTTAAAATGGTATTACATTTTTATTATCACAATGGGTTGATCTGTTTAAATTCTAAAAATACAATATTCCTACAGCCACGTTCACCTTTAAGAAATAAATATGGGCGGTTCCATGTTCTTAAACCAATTAAGCTAATTTTCTGTTTGAATAGCCTTACCTGCCAATCTGTTTCCCACAATAGCAGTTCCTCTCTAATGCCACATTGGGTCCAGCCAGCGAGAGAAAGAGAGAGGCCAAACTCGGAAAAAACACCTGTCTCCGTCCAGCAGGGGGCGGTTTTCGTTGGTTCGCCAAACAAGCAATGCGTTTTTTATGGAAGTCAATGAGAATGTCGAATTTGGTCAACATAAAAATGTATGGCTTATTTGCTAAGTGAGGTTAATTTGATCAGATATAAGTTTCGTAATGCTTAAGTTGTTACGAGTTTACTGATATAAGAAAGACACGTGACATCCCGGCAACTTTAAGGAAAAACACTTTATATTGGAGTTGTCCAGTATGAAAATGTATGCACTCACTAACTGTAAGTCGCTCTGGAAAGAGCGTCTGCTAAATGACTAAAATGTAAAATGTCTCGAGATGGCTATGCATATTAATGAAATTAGGCTATTAGCATAGCCTCTCTCCCAATTCAGTACAGGCGGTTGACGTCAACAACCCTCATCGAATATTTAAAAAATGATTAGAATAATGAGATGTATCCACCAATCCAAAGAAAGGATAGGCGGGAGCTAGACAGCCCGCCGTGCCGCTTTGTGGACAACGACTCCCATTGTTAGGGCGGAGAGACTGGTACAGCACAGATGACTTGGTTGTTTTCTTCCATTTGACTACGGAACTAACAGAACTAAGCCTTCACTAGACGGGCAGATTGTTTTTCGCTTGGAGGGGGAATCACGTTGGCAGTTTTACGGATGCTATGCATGCGTCTCTAACTTGTGATCCAGGTCGCTTATTTAAAAGGAATACTTGTTTTTTGGGATAAACCGTCGCGACATAGGGTCGTTTTCATATGTGCAACAAAATGTCAAATGTTAGTCTTTCGAATGGGAGTCCGACGTTGGAAAGGGTGGATCCGCGTCCGACGGATCACACGAAGACCCCGATTCGCAGAAATCTTTTCGGATCGGTGGATCACGACGAATTTAGGAGGGAGTGTTTGGTTCAAATGAACGAGATGGAGAAGGCATCTATTGACAAATGGAATTATGATTTCCTAAACGACGAGCCCCTTCCCCAGGGAGATTATAAATGGGAACCCATGAAAAGCAGTGACCTGCCTGACTTTTACACCAGACCGCCTCACAAGCGAGGCTGGTCCTCTGGAAATGTGGACCATAACGGGAATCATGATTACCGAGTCCGACCGAGCTGTCCTGCAAACGGGGTTGAGCAATCCGAGGAGACCGAGAAGAGCGAGAGGCAGGCGGATTGTCACCACTCTCACATCGGGGAAAGGAAAAGACCTGCAAATCCAGGTAAATGATGCAGTTTTGAAAATTGACTTGAGGATTTTAGAGTTAACCAATCGACAACAATTCAGCCAGTCTCCTCCGCACAATATGGCACAGTCGAAATAAATTGTTACAATCTGCGAGATTGTATAACAATTCTGCGTCACTGCACTGATACAATGTCGCAGAAAGCCTATACTTTGTACCGCGCACCTCTAGATTCCGTCGATACTTTCTTTTCAGAAAGACACGCTTTGTGTGTCAGGCTATTTAATACTTTGATTTCTTCCTCGTCTTCAGTTTTGAATGTGTGTTCTGCTCTGGCCTAATGAATAGCATGATTATATAACCACTTGGCTGTTTAGCTTGATGATAAACTTAATTTCTGAACTATTCAACAGGGAGGGAAATTAGCTTTTTCACGAAAAACAGTTTACTGACATGTCTTTAAATATTATTTAATTTTTTATCAGAACTGCAAAGTACAAGTACAAGAAAAAAGTTGCATTCCAGTGAAGATGATGAAGTTGGGTCAAAGTCAGTAGAGCAGACACCCAGCAAAAACGATTCCAGGACACATGAACACTAATACCAAGGTAAGAACTTCATCATCATCATCATCATCATGCATTTCCAATGTCTACTGTCAAGTGAGTGTAAAATGACGTGTGAATGACAACCTCTGAGTAATGTTATTTGTTCATGTGGAATTAGAATGTCCTGGAGCATAACCCGGTTGTTCTAACAACCTTATTATAAACATAAACATTTCAGTTGTGAAGCCTATGTTAGATTTTAAACGTGAAGCCATAGTGAGATGTTCAAAAAGGGTTAAAAAGTGTAGATGACACACTGGTAAATTCCCCAGCTATCTGGTCTAATATTAACTTAAGCAAGCCTAGTTCAAGTGCAGAACAGTAGTAACACCTCATCATCAGGCTTTGCACGAGGAAGGGTTGTTTTCAAGAGAATGAGCTCTGCAAGCTGCTGCTCTCTCTGCAGTAGTCTGTCTTGAGTGACATGTTGACATTTAATGTACGCCTTTGCACTGTTTTGCTTGCTTCAACAGAATACACAATGCATGATACTGGACAACTAAACTGTCTTTACTATGCATGTGTTATAACCTTCGGGCTATGTACCCATAACCCCTTCTGTGAACAGAGCTAATATGAATTTGTTTTCCCCACAGCGCTGAGAAGTCCTCCTTTTTCATTGAATACTGTACTTCAGGACCTGAAGAAGAGACGAGCGATAGAAGAGGAGACAGGATACAAAATGGCCTGTCTTTAGGAGGGAGGGAGGCTGTGCAAGCACTGAATATTTACACTAATGTTTTGGCACTCAATTTAATCCAATCGCCTCAAAAGCAGAAAATGTAGCAGTGTGCAAAAACTGGATGTTTTTCCCTTTTTGCTCAGTTTTATTTTTTACTACGTATGTTTCATATGTAGCACATAAAACATAATATTATTATGTTGATAAAATAAGTGTCTTGAAGAATTGCTGTGCAGTTTTCAAAAATATATTGTTTGTAAAAGTGGTCATATGATATCCTTGTTCAGGTATAATTGATAGTTATAAATGCAGATTATTTCTAAATCAGGGTTTTTGAGAGTATCTCATCAAATAATCAGTTGTTTCTGTTTTATGGCTTTATGCAGTGTTCAGTGGTAGTACATAGTGTGAAGGCCTATTATTCAAAAGCTGGTCATTAGGGTTGGGGTCAATTCTATTTCAATTGATGAAGTAAACTGAAAGTCAGATTCCATTTCCAATTTTCCTCAATGCTTTTCAATGAGAGAAAATATTTAGAATTTTAGTTTACATCCTGAATTGACTGAATTTGAATGTAATTGACCCAACATTACACTAAGGTCATACTGTCAATCAGAAGGACTTCTATGTTACATGACCTAACTAGATAAAAGTTTACATGCAAATAATATATTATTAGTACGTTTTCCTACTGAGAAAGGGAAAGATCCTGCCAAAGTTTCAACATTTGTCTTTTTTTTTGGAAAAATAATTAAATGAGTAGGGCTTATTCATGGCATAGTTACAAATTATTGGTAAAAGTTAGAAAATGTGAGTTCCCATTTTGCTGTATTAATTATTATTATGCCACCCTAAAATCAGTTGGTTTCCTTTAACGTATTCATAATGTGGTCCAGTTTGACCAGAGTAGCCTACACTCAGATGTGTTGTAACCACCTGGCACTTTGCAAACATAAATATGTGAATCAACAATTTGCCTCTTATTTTGTGTTGAATTCATGTTGAGCATGACATGGCACTATATAGACCACACAAAGGAAATAATTATCATCTTTGAGGAGGACAGACAGATAAAAGGTACACTGCATGTACAGCATGTCTGTGTAAAACTTTGAAGTGTACCTTTTGTATATTTCCTTGTAAAAATTATAGTAACTTATTTCTGTTCAGGTTTTTGTGGTTGTATCGATATCCAAAGTGGCATTTTTTGTGCATTGTTATGTAAATACTTTAAAAAATGTTTTTGGATACAAAAGGTTGCAAAACTGAGCCTAATTAAAAATATACCTGTATATTTTGTATTGTGTCTCTGAAACCGGCAATAATTTGATTTAAAAAAAAATATTTGGTTAAATAAAAAATGACTTATTATTTTCAAAGTTACATATTATGTGCACATTAATTTTCCTCCATATGTCAACACTGTCACAGTATGCTATACATTGTTTAATTTAGGCTATAGTGTGCCAGGGCCAACCTCGGCAGTAGGCTAGTAAAGGTATTAGTTATGAGATATGGTTGATAATGTGTAAAAACACGCGTATAGACTAGTCACCCAGAAATGATAGTGGCGCAGCAGAATGTGAGCCCAAGGGGTCCTTATTTGAAAGGACAATGACTAGTTGCAACTTTTGATCCATGCATAATGCTACAGTTGCAGAAATGCATGACGTTACTGTTTATTGAGTGAAGAGATTCTTTTGAATTGAAATCGCCATAGATTCCACAAGACACGCTCAAGAGAATGTGCAAAAAAATAAATCATTGGACTTCAATTACACGTAACTCGCACTGCAGAGAGATAAGGTAACCAACCTAATTTGTAATGTGCAAACTAAACTAGTGTGTCTAGGTACTTTACAACCATCGCAATATACACATTTCTCATGTGGTATCACAACAATTACGCACAACTCTCACTATTACACATCTTGGGCTGATTTACGCGCCATTCGACTCTCGATAACACGCATACTCAGGGCACATCCTATACCACGGTACGGGTGAAAAAACTGTTATTGACACTCGCTTTCTCCAATCAGGCACGCATTAAGAAAAGCACACCACTTATGACAGCCACTTAGGTTGGCTTTCACTGTAGCCAGGTTTGAACGGAGTTAACTTAGGTCAGGACAGCATGTTCTTTTCGAGGAGCACACCCCCAAGGACTTTCATTGGCTGGCCAGACTGGAGTGCCTCTTTTTGCTCATACAAGCAGGAGTACTACAGTGTAAAATGTGAATAGAACTGTGCCTGTGATGACTTTCTTTTGCAGTGAAAGAAAGCAAAATATATGAGGAAGAAAACAAACAACAGTGATGTGTGCATAGAGAGATGAGGAAAAACTACTTCAGGTTGGACAGACACATGGAGGAATAGAATAGATTCGTTAACAGCACAGTTATAACACCTGTGTGTGTAGTGTACACACATGTAATGCCCGGATCATATTCTGCAATAGCTAGTTAATAGTTATTCTGCATTGGTACATTTATCTAATATTTAGTGGTACTTTCAAATGTTTATGGAGTGAGTATGGTCTAAATAGGAATGGCAGACATTGCATACAGTAGGGTACTGTAGTAATAATAATAATAATATGCCATTTAGCAGACGCTTTTATCCAAAGCGACTTACAGTCATGTGTGCATACATTTTTACGTATGGGTGGTCCCGGGGATCGAACCCACTACCCTGGCGTTACAAGCGCCATGCTCTACCAATTGAGCTACAGAGGACCAGTAATGAGTTTACACTGTCTGACCTTGTAGTAGGCTGTAGTAAAAAGACGACCACATCCCTCAGTTGTTATTGTTGTGGATGCCGAATTTCTAGGAAGTCACTGTGGTGGAGGCCGTTCACATACTTCTGGTTAATCTGAATTTGATGACTTCAATTCAAGCTAAAAACAAGCACTTATTTAAAGAAGTAGTGTGTATGGTATATCTCTCTCTCTCAAAAGAAAGAAAGAACATTTATTGGAATTATTACTCCATCTTCACTACAATGTTGCTACTATGCCAGATTGGACTACATAACTATTGGCATGAACAAGAGTGTAAAATACCTCACTATTCATATGGGTAACTAGGCGCTGTCAAAGTTTTTTCTGTTGAATTGGAAAACATATTTAGAAAAGTCCTTGACTGAAAGCCCTAACCCAGACCCACCCTACTATAAAGGACTGTATCCCATGGAGCACACTGCTACATACAATATAGTCCAGCAACAATCTGTGACTGTTACTACTAATTTTGATTATACAGTTACCTCAAATGCACTGTTTCTCCCATATAGCAGGTTTTAGTTTCATGCCCAAATGACTCATGAAACCATAATGAACTGTGATAAAAGATATGGGAGGTACTAGTGTTTTCCTCTAAGTGACAATACTCCAGTTCATCTGAAATACCCATTTCCTCTACATTTTCTCAATTAACCACAACTTCTTGTCAGGGCAAAAAGCCCTGTGTAAGATTTTTGGCCTACAGTAAGCGAGAAACAAACCATTTAATGGTAAAGGGAATTACTACACGTGTATTGTGCAATTAACAAGTATCACATCCTTTCCTCAGCTACTGGATAAGACATCTTATAGATGGACAAATGAATCTGGAGCACATAGGCCTACTCTACAATGCAGCCACATTATTAAACCCCACTGTGTGTTACTCCTTTGATGACTGTCAGTTGTCAGCAAACAAGCCCATTACTCTTATTGAAATTACATTTTGTTTTGATGGTCTCTTTTGAGATCCTCTACTGACTAGAGGTAGATTAGATAGGCCAAATCAGTCTTTGAAGTGATTCAGCATTTCATAGAGTAGACAACCAGAGTCATGCACATTCAGGTGGTTACAATTATGTTTGCCCAGTGTGCACATAAAGGCAAAGTAGCTAATAATCCCAGCACCAGATGTTTGAGTTCATATCAGATAGAACTGAATGGCACTCAGAGCTCAATATCAAAAGCTCATTGGAAATGGAAGGTCAGCTATTGTTGGGGTTATCCTTGATAGAGAGGGAAACTACTGTACAGCTGCCAAAATGTTTAGGTGGTGTGCATGTGTGTGTGGGTGCGTGCGTTGTTTGACTCAACTCAACTGACAGAAAGGGAAGGTAATGAGGCACACACTAGATGAGATGATATCATCATTTTTAAAGGACCCAGCGTGTATTGCCAGGTATGACTTCAAGCACAGGGTAGTTAGGTGGTGTGTGTGTGTGAGTGTGTTTTTTCCACACGTGTGTGTGTGTAAAGTTGACAATTCCCCTCATACTGACCTCTTCATTGATATGGCTTTGTTAGCA